ACTTTTATTGAATTTAAGTGTCCATGGAAACAAAGTAATTTTATTGAATTCAAGTGTCAATGGAAACACAGTAATTTTATTGAATTTAAGTGTCAATGAGTCACAACAACTGCATGATTCTAGTAGTGTCAAAAATAGCTTTATGTGTAATGTAAGGGTGAACAGGAATGGCCTGTGCAAAGCGAACAAAAGAGAGTCCATGACAGCTTAATCTGATTGCTAACAATTTGTCTAAGTCAATGAATAATCAAATATGAGGCATCGTGGAGAAATCAGGTGCTCGTCAAAATAATAAAAGTTTGGAATTTTGTTTTCAATTTTTGTTTTTTGGCTCAACACCTTGTACATGCATGTCCATTCAAAAACACTTTTATGCGTGGGTTTTATGGAAAAATATGTACACTAAACTCACTGTAAAGGCACACAAAATTTTACTTTGCAGTTTCCAAGGACTCTTAAGCTATGGAGGAAGTCACCAAATCATTTTGTTTCCTGTTTTTCACAAAGTGGAACCCCCAATGCCAATAGTAATAGCTCATCATTGTGCTGAGAGCACACAAACAGATACACATACGTACTTACATACGCGCACAAACACACACACACACACACACAGAGAAAGAATGAGAGATATTATTTCTCTCATTCTTTCTCTGTGAGTGGGTGCCTCACTATCTGCATCATATTTTCATATACAGAGAGTGAGGCACACACACAGACAGAGAGAGTGATGACATACAGAGAGAGAGAGAGAGAGAAACACACACACACACACAGACAGAGAGAGTGAGAGACATACAGAGAGAGAGAGAGAGAGAGTAATACACACACACACACAGACAGAGAAAGAATGAGAGATATACAGAGAGTGAGGCACACACACACACACACACACACACACAGAGAGAGAGACATACAGAGAGAGAGAGAGAGTCAGTCATACACACACACACACACACATACAACATGTAGAAGTATAAGTCCAAGTCTCAAAATAAATGAAGAAAATACAAATTTATTAAGTAATTCAGGCATATATATATTTTATAATATATATATTATACATGTATACTGACAGCTTGGGTTTAACTGCAGATTGATTATGATTATGAGATACAGAAAAGGACCTTAAATTGATTCTAGATCTAGATAGATCTATGTGTACTGCGGTGAAGGAAGGTGGATGTGGGGGGGAGGTTGTTTTATTTAAAAAGAAAACAATGACTTGAATGATTGATATATATATTGTGCTAACCGCATGATTCAACCGCCTAAGCAGTAAAATTTTATAAAAATCTCTTTTTGACCCCTTTATGGGGTACAACCTTTGATACACTTTATATTAAAATCCCGAGTTTGAAAGATAACTGCAAAGTGTTTTAATCCTTCAGTAAATCAATCGCCTATATCACACCAGTCCCCAATTTCCTCGTGATTCAACCACCCAAGTACCAGGTTCTGCAGCCCGGTGGCAAATAGGCGGTTGATTCACGCAGGCAGACTCGGTGGCTTGTTGAGGTGTTCACCTGGCACGAAGACGGCGTGACCCACACGACTGTGACCTCTGTCGAAGTGGACTTGAGGGGAACAGACAGCCATTTGAATACTATAGAGACTATAGTACCGTACTATAGTATAAGTATATATATATATATATATATATATATATATATATATATATATATATATATATATATATATATATATGTATATATGTCCTGCATAATAAGTGTGTCATTTTATCGATTAGAATGGAACTACACACCCATCTGATATCCTACACAATAAGTGTGTCACTCAACTTCCTACCAAGTAAGTGTGTCACCCCATGTGCCACACGCTACAACACGGTAAGTGTGTTATCAGATGTGCTGCCCGCAACAACAAAGAAAGCGTGTCACCGGAAGTAAGGCCCGACTCACTAAGCGCAGTTTCTCCTGTCCTACAGAAATAAGAAACGAAGCGCGTTGTCCGATGTGCTACCCGCTAAACGTGTTATCTCCTGTCTGTAGAAACAAGAAAAAGAGCGTGTCATCCTATGTGCTATCCGCTACAACACAGTAAGTATGTCATCTGATGTGCTATCCACGAAGCATGTTGTTATCTCCCGTGCTATAGAAACAAGCAACACAGCCTGTCATCAGTAAATGCTACCCATAGAGTGTGTTATCTCCCAAAGCGTGTCATCTGGAATCCAGCAGCGCGCCCACAGAAGAACGCCCCCTGGCTGAAGTCGTCAGATGTTCCAGAGTTAGCTCCCCTGTGTGGCTCTGCTCCAGGCCCGTCTCCATCCCTGCCACAGAGGTCAAGGCCACCGGCTTCATCGACTCCGACACACCCCTGAGGACAGAAATATACACACGCAATAATGTACAATTTTTTTTTTCTTCTTCTGCTTCATTTCCTACTTCTTTCTCTTCCTCTTCATTAACTACTGGGCCCTTTCACCAGTCACTAGCGCTGAATACTGGTGTTTTGGGAGTTTTTCAAAACACCACCCCAACTCTCAGAATTAACCCTATTGTGATTATTTTTTGACACAGAAGAGCTACATTCAAGCTTAATCTAATACAAAAGGCTACAGTTATCTAAGTCTAGAAGTTTAATTTTTATGATTATTTAAAAATTGGAATGTATTTGAGTTTCCAAAAAGTTTCCACAGACATGACAGATAGAATGAAATTCACAACAACAAAAATGAAAGTTCAAAGAGTTCTGTTTTGATTTGTATCCATGTGTGAGTGTTTGGTGAAAATATAAAAGCTGGTCTATACGTTGAATCAGACCCATACACTGAATAACATGAGACAGATGTAGGGAACGAAGTTGTGATTTCGTCGCGCGAACAACGACACTAGTACTAGAGCTAGATCTAGTTCTAAAACTACAACTCGAGCCGTGTTCGGGTACCTATCCAGGGTCCTAACTATCAGAAACATCATATTCTGAGTCACTAGAACTAGTACATATTTTTAGAGTACATGTATTTGTATAGTTTAGCAGGAGTGGTTTTTCCTCTTTTTGTACGTACTTTTCAATTTGGACATTAACCCTATCCGTACGTCATGTTTTACTAGGGGAACTCAGTGCCACCACTTTCCAAAGAGGAAATTTACTCATTAATCCGATCTGTATGCTTTGCACAGCAGTCTGTTAAAATGATTTTTTGAGAAATACTGAAAGTTTCAAAGAGATCTTCGTAAAAGAAGTATTCTAAAATGTGAAGAACGCAACCCAAGGGGTACAAAATGACCCCAGGGCGTACGGATAGGGTAAAGGAAGCACCAACCTCTGAGTCTGGCTGCGCACCAGCTCGTTGAGCAAACCCTCCCTCTCTGCCACCATCTGTCGTTCCCGCATGCTGTGTCGAGCCAGCTGTTTGCCAGCGTGGCCCGCCTGAAGCTCCGCCTCCCTCACTCGCTCCTCCATGCGCCGGATGTTCTTGGTGTACTCACTCAGCATGCGCTCAACCTGGCAACACAGCGCCAATTAGATACACACCATGAAAAGGAAAAACCTGGTAATGCACACATGATAAGAGGTAAAAACCTTGCAGCATAGCGTCAGTTCATAAAATACATGTTAAACAATCCAACCTAACAAAACGGGCAAATTTTAAGTCAAAATAACCCCCCCCCCCCCCCTTACTCTTCCTGCTTGACAACTCTGATCGTAAACCCACGAGCACGTCTTGACTATCGCAAAGCACCCCCCCTCCTATTTTTTTTGCACCCTGCATTGTATTTATCGTGAGGTCGAATTTCTAAGTGAGTAATGATGGTTGGTACAGGTCTGTGAGTCTGTATCATGTGTGAAAGTCTGTACACCGCGTGTGTTCATTTAAGTCTGTATACATGAGTACAGTGCAGCCTCTCTATAACAACCTTCGATATAACGACATCCTCTGTATAGCCACATGGTGCCCAGGTCCCAATTTTTTCCTTATATATCATTAGTAATTTTTTGTTACCTCTCTATAACGACAACTCTCCATAACGACATTTTTTTAAGGTCCCAACGATGTCATTATAGAGAGGCTGCCCAGTATATAGACAGAGAGATGACTGAGACACACTTACAGTCACACAGACACACACACAAAACACACTGATACATACATACACTCAAACACACAGACACACACACACACACACACACACACAAAACATTCACATTTACAGAGGCTGCTCGGTATTTGAGAGTGTGGAGGATGCCCGTGTCTGTGAGAGTATATGTGTGAAAGTGTGTACATAAGTCTGTATCATGGTATTTGAGAGTGTGGAGGATTCCTGTACTGTATATTTGAGAGTGTGGAGGATTCCTGTACAGTATATTTGAGAGTTTGGAGGATTCCTGTACAGTATATTTGAGAGTGTGGAGGATGGCTGTACTGTATATTTGAGAGTGTGGAGGATTCCTGTACAGTATATTTGAGAGTGTGGAGGATTCCTGTACTGTATATTTGAGAGTGTGGAGGATTCCTGTACTGTATATTTGAGAGTGTGGAGGATTCCTGTACTGTATATTTGAGAGTGTGGAGGATGGTCGTGTCTGTGAGTGTGTATCATGTGTGAAAGTCTGTCAACAGTGTGTGTTCATAAGTCTGTTTCATGGGTATTTGAGAGTGTGGAGGATTCCTGTACTGTATATTTGAGAGTGTGGAGGATTCCTGTACTGTATATTTGAGAGTGTGGAGGATTCCTGTACTGTATATTTGAGAGTGTGGAGGATGGTCGTGTCTGTGAGTGTGTATCATGTGTGAAAGTCTGTCAACAGTGTGTGTTCATAAGTCTGTATCATGTGTATTTGAGAGCGTGGAGGATGGCTGTGTCTGCACTCACTTCAGCCGTCTTCGCCTGACTGTCCTTGAGCAGAGAGGTCAACTCCTCGTTGCGTTTCTTCACGTGCGACATCTCGGCCCGGCAGTCCGTGAGCTTCCCCTCAAACTTGTGCCTGATGGTTTGGCATTCTTCCTTCCACCTGCAGGCAAAATGAGGAACAATATCAACAAACAGAAGATTGAACCATCTGACCCACAGCTATCATCGCTATGTCGTGACCTCAGTGCTTTCTTGTCCTATCTACATTCTTTTCAACTTTGGCCTAGGGTCATTTTGTACCCCCGGGGTTGTATTCTTCACATTTTAGAATACTTCTAGAGTGAATATCTCTTTGAAACTTTCAGTATTTCTCAAAAAATCATTTTGACAGAATACCAAGCAAAGCGTACAGATCGGATTAATGAGTAAATTTCCTCTCTGAAAGTGGTGGCACAGAGTTCCCCATGTCGTATGGATATGATAGTGAAACACGACGTACGGATAGGGTTAAGCTCACTCTTTGTTATGAAATGTTTTCACAGTTATTAAAAATGGAGAAAGGACAAGAAAACACGGAGGTCGTGATGTTTTGTCTACCAATACGGCCACGCAAAATCTCTCACTGATCGATGCATTGCCATAAATTAAATAATTTTCATATATCCTCAGCCCCTAATGTTGTGGACGAGTTATCATAATACTTTCATAAGTCATTACCGTTAGCCTCTCCTACAAATGTGTCACGACGCGGGGGAATCGGGCGCGTTGCAATTTTAGGGTATACGAAGTTTTAAATATCTAAACACATACACACACACAAAGTTGTTTCACCTGGCACTCATCCTCTGTTGCGCAGTGAGCAGGCGCCTTAGCTCTGAGACCGTCTGCTGTCTCGTGTCCTCTGTCGTCTGCAGACGGATCTCAAGGTCGCGCGTCTTCACCTGCTGGTCTTGCTCCATCAGCGCCACCTGAAGGCAGAAAGCAGGAAATGACATAGAAATATACGACACGGAGGAATCAGGCATTCTTCAATTTTTGGGCAGGTCGAGTTATTGGTATCGTCCTTTGTTCCTTTGTCTCGCTTCCAGGAAAGAACATACCTATTAGATCTGTCTTAAATTGAAGTTGAGATATTTGCCATTGAAGAAGGTGGGGGTTGCCTATTTCCAGTGGAAAAATTAGCGAGAAAACGACCGTCAAAGTAAGGCGACTTCCATTGCTTGAGAATCTTTGGAAACTAAAAATTTATAATTTTTGTGCTTTTAAGCAACATTTTTCAGCAAAATGGACAAAAAAAAGGCGAAGAGCCAAAGAACAAAATTTTAAAAATAAAAATACACACACACACACACACACACGCGCGCGCGCGCGCGAGCAAATCTCACCTTTTTCAGACACTTGCGGTAGGCAGCTTCCTTCTCCTTGTTAGCTTCCAACAGTTTCTTGTTGAGTGCATACACATACTCACAATAACACTCACACACGCACATACACACGCTCACAATCAGAGAAAACATACACACACACAAACACTCACACCGACACGCATCACACACCCAACCTCTTTCAGACACTTGTGGTTCTTGTTGAGAGCATACACATACTCACACTCACACACTCACACACACACACACTCACAATCACACACACACACATCCACACACACAAACCTAACCTCTTTCAGACACTTGCGGTAGGCAGCCTCCTTCTCCTTTTTAGCCTCCAACAGTTTCTTGTTGAGCGCATACATACTCACACACGCACACACACACACACACACACTCACACACACACACACACGCACACACCTACACAAACCTAACCTCTTTCAGACACTTGCGGTAAGCGGCCTCCTTCTCCTTGTTAGCCTCCAACAGTTTTTTGTTGAGCGCATTGATTTGGTTCACATTGGCCTCTCTCTCCTCGCTGGCCACCTCAAACTGGGACTGGAACCCAGACACTCGCTCCTGGAGCTGTGCCACTTCCGAATCGCGCTGGATGCGAACGTTCTCCACTCTGCCGATGAGACAGATGCAAGCTACGACGTTATTCACATGTATTACATATTCTCGATTCTGTACACAGTACGAAATACACATATGTGTCACAACATGGTGGAATCAGGCTCTTGTCAATATTTGGGTATGTTGAGGTATTGGTATCATCTTAAAGCTTGGTCATTTGTCTCGCTTCGGACGAAAAAAACATTCATTTATTTTTAATAGAAGTCGAGATACTTGCGAATGAAGGAGGTGGGGGTCAACTGGTTTTAGAGGTAAAATTAACGGGGAAAATAGGCGCCAAAAATGAGTTATTTCCTTAGCTTGAGAGTCCTTGGAAACTGCAAATTTACTACTTTTTTGTGTGCCTTTAATAAACGTTTTTCCACAAAATCCACTCCTTAAAGGGTTTTTGAACGGACATAAAAGGTGTTGAGCCAAAATGATCTTCATTATTATTATTAAAACAAAAATTCGAAAAAAATGTCCAAACTGGCAGAAAATGCCAAATTTCTCGGATTTCATTATTTTAATGAGCACCTGATTTCACCACAATATCTCACATATGTTACACACTACAATCTCTGCTACAATCTCCGCAACAATCTCTGCTACAATCTCCGCAACAATCTCTGCTGCAATCAACAGAACAAAAAATCTCACTCCATCTTGAGTCGGTCCATCTCCGTCTGCATGTTGTCGACCTTGACAGAGGCTTCATCTCTCGCCCGCTCCGCATCGATGGCTCTTTTGTTCAGCTGTTCGTACGCTTCCTTTGACCTTGACCCTTCACTCTTTCCCTCAGAGTAGATCTGGTGAACAGTCAGATTATAGTTCTTATAAAATGAAAGCTGCCAGCAACACATCCAATATGGCTGCACCCCCCCCCCCCCCCTGAAAACTCTCTCACCATTTGAGGATTTCTGACAGAACTGAGGAAATATTGACAGAGAAATGACTGAGACACACACACAAAACACATTCACAATGATACATACACTCACACACACACAAACACACAGACACACACACTCACAGACACACACACCCAGACACACACAAACACAAAACACATTCACAACGATAACATACACTCACACACACACACACAGACACACACCCACTCACTCCCATACACACTCACACAGACAGACAGATAAACAGACACACCACACAAAACACATTCACAACAATACACACACTCAACTCACATACACACTCACACTCACACAAACAGACAAACAGATGAGCGGACACACAACAACTGCACTGACCTGCTGTAGCTCCGACTCCACAGCACGTTTCTCCCTCACCAGCCTGTCTAGCCGTGCCTGGCGCTCCGAACCTTCCTGAAACACACAGGCCAACAAATTACTTCTTTAGATTTTTTAATTTTTTTTAAAGTAAGAGTTTAAGTAAGAGTTTTAGTTTTAGTAAAGTTTTTACGACACTTGCAACTGCATAAGGTCTTATGAGCTCCAAGGGGTGGATGTCAACAGAGATTAGAGAAGTCTTTACAGAGAATCAGCCTTACTCTGCTCACCTCTCGTGCTTCGACAGCACAAGTCTGTTTCAACTATCAAGGCACCCCGGAAATAGCAGGTCTCAAGAGTTTGACAAACATACAAAAAAGTAGAGGAAAAATTATGATAGTAAAGATTAGGAAAGAAAAAGCAGCAGTTCCCTGTTGCAGTACAGGCAGTTATGAGCATGACATTGATGAATCAGCCCATTTACAATTCTACTGTACATAAGAACAGGTTAATGTCCCCCCTTTGAGAATGGCCTAAAGACACTTAAGTCAGTAGCACTGCCACGGGGCGTTTAACAGTTTTACAGCACTTGCAACACAATAAGGTCATATAAGTGCCGAAGATTAGAGGTATCACAAGAGAGTAACATACATAAAAAAGAAAGAGAAGAGATCAGAATGACAGATATTTGGTAAGAAAGAAGGAGCAAACCACACCAGAGCACCCGCCAACAACCGCTCCTCAGAATGAATTACAAAGTTCTATCTGCTTAGTACCTAGTTTTGAGAAATTTAACGTCAAAGATTTGGAATTTCACAATAACATGTCAAAGTCAAGCTTTTTCGGATGCAATTCTTCTAATACCTTGACAACGACTCCGAATAATCTTCCAGTTTTGATAGAGCAGATAGAGCATTTGGTGTCTGACCTCATGGTCTTACTCTGACTCAATAATATAATAATAAATTACACTTTTATTTGTCCCAGAAGGGCACTTTGTTTTACAATGGCAAACATACATACATAAATACATAATTATAAATACGTACATACATAAATACATACATGCATAAATACATACATAAATACACACTATTACACAAATACAGAACAGTTGACAAACAATGCCACTGTCGGTCGCCACTGTGCAGCGCCCTGTAATTTGAGCTAGGGTTGTCGTGTCTTGCTCAAGGACACACTCCAGTGACCACCCATCTGATCCCCGTGTCACCGATACTTGCTTGACATTGCTAAACTCACTACTCACTTAGCCACTGGAGCCCCCATGAATGCACAATCATCTTTCAGAATATTATATGTGAGGCATTGTGGTGAAATCAGGCACTTGTCAAAATAATAAAATTGAAAAAAAATCAACATTTTTCTGATGCATAGTAATTTTTATCGATTGTTATGTTTTGGCTCAACATCTTTTAAGTCCATTATAAAACACATTTCTGTGTGGATTTTACTTTTTAAAAAACAGTGATTAAAAAGGTACCAAAAAAATAGATTTTTCAAGTGTCCAAGGACTCTCAAGCTATGGAGGTCTTCAAATGTTAGCAGCAGCAAATATTTATTTTTTTTTAATGGTAGAGGTAAAATGACGATGGTAAGGATTAGGAAAAAAAAAGCAGCAGTTCCCTGTTGCAGTTCAGGCACAGTTATGAGCATGACATTGATGAATCAGCTCTTTTACAATTCTACTGTACATAAGAACAGGTTAACCCCCCCCCCCCCCCCCCTCCCACTCCAACCTCCTGCAATAGCAAATATCTCGGCTTTTACTCAAGACAGATAGCTATATTTTTCATCAAAAGCAAGACAAATGAACAGGCTTAGGATGATATCAATAACTCCTTACGCCCAAACGTTGTCAAATGTCTACGCACCCATCATTGACTTTCTCTCTCTCACTCACTCTGACACACATTTACTCTACCCATCCACTCACCACCCAATGACTCTCTCTCTTTCTTTCTCTCTCTCTCTCTCTCTAACAATGCACATGCACCCACTCACCATCTCCAGCGCGTGCACCTCCTCTGTCAGCTGAGCTATCCTCTCATTGCACTGTGCTCGCACGTTGTCCACCTGTGGATGGAGGCTTAGTTAGGCTTAGGCTTAGGTTTAGACCGTTCTACTGTGATAGGACGGTGGCTTAGGCTTAGTATTAGACTGTTCTACTACGATAAATAATAATAATAATAATATTTATTACAGGCGCTAAACAGATATCAGAAATAGAAACCATGGTTTCCTTGTCGAAACAGATAACAGAAATAGAAAAGGTCATTTTCTTGTCGAAACAGATAACAGAAATAGAAACCGTCATTTTCTTGTCGAAACAGATAACAGAAATAGAAACCGTCATTTTCTTGTAGAAACAGATAACAGAAATAGAAACCGTCATTTTCTTGTCGAAACAGATAACAGAAATAGAAACCGTCATTTTCTTGTAGAACCAGATAACAGAAATAGAAAACGTCATTTTCTTGTCGAAACAGATAACAGAAATAGAAACCGTCATTTTCTTGTCGAAACAGATAACAGAAATAGAAACCGTCATTTTCTTGTAGAACCAGATAACAGAAATAGAAACCGTCATTTTCTTGTCGAAACAGATAACAGAAATAGAAACCGTCATTTTCTTGTAGAAACAGATAACAGAAATAGAAACCGTCATTTTCTTGTCGAAACAGATAACAGAAATAGAAACCGTCATTTTCTTGTCGAAACAGATACAGAAATAGAAACCGTCATTTTCTTGTCGAAACAGATAACAGAAATAGAAACCGTCATTTTCTTGTCGAAACAGATAACAGAAATAGAAACCGTCATTTTCTTGTAGAAACAGATAACAGAAATAGAAAACGTCATTTTCTTGTAGAAACAGATAACAGAAATAAAAACCGTCATTTTCGTGTAGAAACAGATACAGAAATAGAAACCGTCATTTTCGTGTAGAAACAGATACAGAAATAGAAACCGTCATTTTCTTGTAGAAACAGATAACAGAAATAGAAATCATAGTTTAAAAATCTGAAGGAACAGACAAGAGTTACCTCCTCCCGCGTGCGAGCCCCGGCCTTGACGATGAGTTTCGCCATCGATGTTTTCGTCTCCTCCAGCTCTTCCTCCTTCTGCCTCACCAACATCTCAGCCTGACCTCGGGGGAGAAAGAGAGTGAGTGAGTGAGTGAGTGAGAGAGGGTGTGAGTGAGTGAGAGAGAGAGAGAGAGGGTGAGAGTTAGTGAGAGAGAGAGTGTGTGAGTGAGAGAGAGTGTGTGTGAGTGAGAGAGAGAGAGAGAGAGGGTGAGAGTTAGTGAGTGAGAGAGTTAGTGAGTGAGAGAGTGTGTGAGTGAGAGAGAGAGAGAGGGTGAGAGTTAGTGAGAGAGAGAGTGAGTGAGGGGGGAGAGAGAGAGGGAGACTGAGAAAGAGGGAGAGAAAGAGAGAGAGTGAGTGAGTGAGTGAGAGAGAGAGAGAGGGTGAGGGTGAGAGTTAGTGAGTGAGAGAGTGTGTGAGTGAGAGAGTTAGTGAGTGAGAGAGTGTGTGAGTGAGAGAGAGAGAGAGAGGGTGAGAGTTAGTGAGAGAGAGAGAGAGTGAGAGAGTGAGTGAGGGGGGAGAGAGAGAGGGAGAGAGAGAAAGAGGGAGAGAAAGAGAGAGAGTGAGAGAGAGGGGGAAAGAGAGAGAGTGAGAGAGAGAGAGAATCAGTTCGAGTAAAGAGAATCACATTGACACAATATTAGTCTAAAGCTAATCACTGGCAAAGCAGAATCCTTAGTATTGATAAGATGACATATTTCACTCATTTTTCTTTTTTCTAAATACATGCAGCTGATCACGTGATTGATTGATTGATTGGGTAGATGTTTTACGGCACTATCGACACAATTTTGGTCATTTAAGGGGATGGAGCTATGGTCAACACCCAAATGCTAAATTTAAGGGTTAAATGCTTGTTTTTCTGCACCAAATGGTGTATCTGTGTTCAACAAAAGGTTATGAGGCAAAAAATTCAAGGTCCCAGCCATAACACTCTTGTCACATCAAAAATAAACTGCCGACTCGGCACTTTTTACCCAAAATTTATATTGAGTGAATCATCAAAACTACTCAAGATAGAAGCTCAATATTTGGCATGGTTACTACTATTGGCATGCCTTACAACCTTACAGGGCCAAATTTCAGTTATCTGTATTATGCTGAGAGATTTTTTGTTCTGCTTTGACCCTTCATTCAGATCTCCTTGAGGTTTTGATGCATTGTCCATTTAAAAAGTTAATAATTCACAATGTGTACACTAAACAGCTAAAGTGACCCTGTAAGTTTGTCGGTACATATGTATTGAAGGTTGTGTCCAAATATGAACAAATTCTGACAGTAACTTTCCAAGATCCACTCAATATAGTCTTGCAATATTTTCGAAAAAGCGATTCTGAGAAAATCGCAAAAAAAGATTTTGAATAGTAAAATCATCACCATTTTACATAGTTATCATGAAAAAACAGTACTATTTATCAACCACAGGCATATTCAAACTGTGTAACATAAAGGCTGTGACTCAAGAGGATATATTGGACATTTTTAATCAAAGAAATTCTGACCCACCCCCATAAAAAAATTGAAGAAAAAACCCCCTACCAACACTCCAACCTCAATCTCCCCCACCAGAGGAATAGAATTGTCCATATTTCTCCAGCAGTCTTTGCTCCTCTCGTTGTTTAGCTTCTGCTCTGAGCAGTCTATGTCTCTTTGCTTTTAAAGTAATAGCTGCTTCAACTTTCACTGTCCTGGTGTGGTCCCGCTTCCTCCCCCTCTTCTTTGTTTCAGCACCAACAGGTAGGTCGAGTGCCTGCATGAACTTGCGCGACGATGTTGAGCCAAAGTTAAATTCCGTAACTCCAAGAGCAACTGCAATGCCAAGACGATCCCGGTTGGCGAATAGGTGCTTAGGGCAGCGAGCCCAGATAGTAGCATGGGCGCTCTCATTCGCGTTTTGGGTACTTTGAAGAACACATCTGCTGAGCAAAGCATCCGACGACATTCGCTCGAAAATGGGTCTCACATGATCTGCCACCAGCTTGCAGAGGGGAGTCCCCAGGTTTTCCATGTGGGAGCCAGGAGGTAGCCCCATTGCTTTTGCTTTCTGGTAAAAGCACCAAGAGTCCTTCCCTTTCGGGCAGTTGTCATGGTGAAGTTCGTTGTCCGTGGAGGAACAGTGGTCCACGATGGCCATCACCGCTTGCTTCATTTCAGGCACAGTTGCATTGCTCCGAATTGCTTTCGTGTAATAAGCCTGGAGCTGAGTAATCACGTCAGAACGTAGTTTCCCCTGTCCCTTTCCGCCGAGAGTTACTTTCTGTTTGGACTTCTCAGACACGAGATTGCGAAGGGCAGTGCCGAGGCGCTTGCCGACGTGGTTCACGCATTCGTGTTTTTGTACTGATGTGCCAGGATATGGGTCCAGAGCATGAATTTCTGAAATGGTTTTCGCGTCGCCGTCACTGATCATCGATACGTATCGAAGACCATTTTTTAATATTGACCTGCTCCAGATTCTAAGGGCAGCTTCTTTCTCCATGCCCCCACTAGGGCCTTCATAATTTGCACAGCAGTATGGCTTATGAAGTGCCAGCCACCTTTCATATTTGAGAATGTTCTCCTGCTGAAGTTTCTTCCCTGTGGTGGAACATATGGGACAGTAACTTGTTAACACTTCGTAGTCAACAATCAAACCAGTCTTTCTCTCTATAGCGAGGCCAATTCCCGATTTTGACGTGTGGCCTCTTTTATGCCAACTGCCATCGAAAGAAACATGGATGTCTTTTACTGCAGTAGTTTGTTCTTCGTAAACTTCCTTTACTCTCTCAACTGCTGTGGAAAGGCTCTCCCTTGAAAATGTCTCACACTTTTTACTGATGACTTTTGTGTGAGCTTGGTACGTTTTTTGGTGCAACGAAGGAATGTTCATAAATTCTGAAAAGTTACACAATCCAGAGTGCCCCATACCGGTGGCTGAAGCAGCAGCAACAGCTCTGCGATTAACGTCAAAAACTGAAGTTGAAGACATTTCACACCTGTCTGAAGTGTATGTTTGGGTTACCGTTTCATTACAGTTTTCACATTTAACAGCAAGTGAAATTGCCAGGCCACAGTTCTTGCTTGTTTCATTTGTCAGAGAGAGGGAAGGTTGTAGACACATTGGACACAGAAGGCCTATGAACAATGTTTTCAGAGTTTGGAGGTCAACAACAGTCGATGGCAAGCTGATTGTGAAGTCACCTTGAGATGTTTCAGGAGAGTTGTAGGCCAGTTTTCTTTTGGAGGCAGAAACTGTAGGTGCAGGCTCAGACTCAGCTGGAGCTGATACTGGAGTAGTTTGTTGCTGAGCAGAACAGACGGATGTTGACGGCTGTGCTTCCAGTAGTGATGGCATTGGAATGCCTAACGAAGATGAAGGGGGCGCAATTGCAGCAGTTGGTGACTGGTTGCTATTTCTGGTCGAAATGTTGCGACGAGCAAGAAGGAGCTGTTCTCTCCTTTTCTGCTTCTTCCCAAAAGCATGACCTTTCTTTGTTGCTTGTTTCACCATGACGGAAGCTGAAACAATGAAGAAGAAAAATGGTATATTACAAAAGAGCCTGGAAAAAGACCTCCACTATCCGCCAATACACGTGAAGAGGATACAACTGATATCATTGTTAAAAATGAAATACAGAGCTGCTCGTTTCAGCAAGCTAAAAATTTGGGCAGACGCTCCCGCGGGGCAGGCCCATTTTGGAAATGAAAGCATGTTTCAGTAAGCTAAAAATTTGGGCAGACGCTCCCGCAGGGCAGAGCCCATTTTGGAAATGAAAGCATGTTTCAGCAAGCTAAAAATTTGGGCAGACGCTCCCGCGGGGCAGAGCCCAATTTGACAGCATCAAAGCCACAGACATACATCTTCAATCACCTCTCCATGCAATCAACAATCACAAGTAATGATGTTCTTGTTCTTCACAACCTAACCACACTCATTGTTGTGAAGTCTTCACAACCCTAGAATCTAGTCTAGATCTAGATGTAGATCTGCCACTCATTGTTGTGAAGTGTCCACAAACCCAGCAATCATTATTTACACTCTCAGCGCTCTGAGGAAGCTCTATATCTTAATCCAGATCTATTAGGTATCAACAATAATACATGAACCGGTATAGGACTATAATATTACTCTACACTACAAACAGTAAGAAGGATCGAGGTCATGAGAATCAGCTGATTCAGATTCAGGGCGAAGTGACCCACTTCGGGGTTGGCGAGTTTGAGCGGTCTAGAAACAATTGATTCAGGCAAAAACAAGGGTTAAGCACAGATTTAGCAATTATAGTTATATTCACTCACCTGAATTGACGAAAGGATGGGTTGAGAATTCAGTAGGACGAGAACAATGTGTCAAAACATTCACTGTCTGTTCGTAGGCACGCTGCGTAAACAAAATAGTAATGGCGGTTGTAGGGGATTTCCCTTCGGTTGCTACCGTCTCAGCCAATGACCTTTCGCGAAATGGTCACATGCTAGAAAGGTCCAATCAGGACTTACTACGGGGATTCCACAAAAGTGCGTAAACGGCGCCCCGTGTTATTTCTATACGATACCGAAACTTCAGTAAATGAACGGCCGAAATCGCGATCTTTCCAACGATACCAAACTTTCCTACATTACGACAATGTAAGACCGCATGAGAAAGAGTCAAAGTTACGCTTTTTTAAACGTTTTTTGACAAATATTCTTCACCCCTATCTCTTTCAAATGCATTTTTGAGTGATTTTGAGGTGTTTTTGAGTAGTGAGGCCTCCGAAATGGGATTGCCGACATATTTTTCTACAAGAATATTCCAGAACATGAAATTCGATATTTTGAATCCCAACTTTGAAAATATCGCGTTTGGTCGACCCGTGGATCCCCTTAAGCGCCATCGTGATTTACCAGCCGACATTGACAAACTGGAATCAAAATAGATGCCAAGATTCTGACCTATTCTTGAAAAGCAATTTCCAAATCACCAGTTTCCCAGCGATCAGAAGGACAAAGGGTGAGTGCAAGAAGTACTGTATCTGCCTGATTTCACCTATGATTTGGTCGCTTTGAAGGACAGAAGGGTTAACCCAGATTTCAGGGGTTTC